GGTGGGTGGTTGTGGGGCGCAGCGGGGCGGGGAGCAATGCCGTGGAAGGAGGCGGGGGCGGGCGGTCAGGTGATGCGGGCGGCATCATGTGAGCGGGGCAAGGGGCGGGCCGGGCCGGTGCGGGGAGAGGCTCAGGGTGCCCCGGTGGCGGCGGGGGACGATGAGGACGGCGGTGCTGAGCGGGCTGGTGGTGGCCTTGGCCTTGGCGCTGCCCTCCCAGGCGCTGGAGAACGGGCTGGCGCTGACCCCCCCCATGGGCTGGCTGGCCTGGGAGAGGTTCCGCTGCAACGTGGACTGCCGGGAGGACCCCCGCAACTGCATCAGGTCGGCGGGGAGCGGCGCGGCGGGGGGAGCCCTGTCCCACCCCACCCTGGGGCTAAGCGACCCCTCTGCCCTGCAAGGACGGCTTGTCCCGTGTGTCCCCTGCCCGAGGGACACTGCCCTGAAACGCTGGGCTGGGGTCTGGGGTCTGGCCCGGGTGGGTGGACGGGGCGATGCCAGGGTGGGAGAGGGTTGATGGTCGGGTCGGGCATCAGACCCGGGAGGGTTCTGGCACCGTCTGTGTCCCTGGGACGAGCCCTTGCAGCAGTGGGATCTCGGGGAGCATGGGTGCATGGGAGGCTCAGGTGTGATGGAAAGCCCCCGAAGCTGAAGGATGTGGGTGAGCTTTGTGAGGTTCGGGGGAAACCCTTCCCCTCGGTGAAATCAACAAATGAGGCAATGGACAGGGTTTAAACAGAAGCCTTGGGAACCTTCCTGTATGGCCTCGGCCTGCCCTGCAGTGACAGACCTTCCAAAGCCCTTGTTAGCCCCAAAGTCCTGCTGGCTGCCTGCAGCCAGAGGGACGTGGAGGTCCCAGGGGCTCAGCCTGCTACATCCCTGTCCCCCTGATCCACAGTGAGACACTCTTCTACGAGATGGCAGACCGCCTGGCGGAGGACGGCTGGAGGGACCTGGGCTACAAGTACATCAACATCGATGACTGCTGGTCAGCCAAGCAGCGGGATGCGGCGGGACGGCTGGTTTCTGATCCTGAGAGGTTTCCCAGGGGGATAAAGGCTCTGGCTGACTACGTGAGCATCCACTGGGGATGGTGGGAGGGGGTCTCTGTGTCCCATACCACCGTGGCGGGAGGGCTGAGAGGGAATGGAGAAGCTTGGTCCCTGGGAGGCACCTGGGACCCTCCTTGTCCCCTCCTTGCAGCTCTCCTCTCCTTGCAGGTCCATGCCCGGGGCCTGAAGCTGGGCATTTATGGTGACCTGGGCACCCTAACCTGTGGGGGCTACCCGGGCACCACGCTGGACCTCGTGGAGCAGGACGCTCAGACCTTTGCGGAGTGGGGTGTGGACATGCTGAAGCTGGATGGGTGCTACTCAACAAGTGAAGAGCAGGCAAAGGGTAAAGGCTACCTGGCTGGTGGGCATTTCTCCCCTTGCTGCTTCGGTCAGGGTGGCTGGCTGTTCACTGAAGTGCTTGGCCAGCTTCGGTTCTTCTCTTTCATCTCCTTTGCCCAAGAGCTGGGCAAAGAGGAGGGAGTTTGGGTGCTCTAGAGCTCGTGTAAGGCAGGAGGCCAGGCTGGCCTGGGATCCCCCTGACGGGGCTGGCTGGAACACAGTTTGCTGCCAGCCGTCTCCTTCACCATTTGTCATCTTCTCTCCTGAAGGCTACCCAGCAATGGCGAGGGCCTTGAACGCCACAGGCCGCCCCATCGTCTACTCCTGCAGCTGGCCAGCATATCAGGGGGGGCTCCCCCCAAAGGTGAGGGTTGTCCCATCTGGTGGATGTTTCTCATGTTTTCCCTGTGCCCTGGGAATTCTTGTTGGAGCTGCAAGAGCTGGGTGCTACATCCTGCTTATTGCTCTGCCCCTGGTAGGATGGGGCTGCAGGTCCCCAGAGGGCAGGTGGCCTCCCTGCCAGGCATCTGATGACACTTGGGATTCCCAGCATGGCTAGATGATGGGAGTTTGGGGGAAGAAGGCACTCTCCCACCTTGCTGAGCTGATATAGGGCTGATCCCAACAGTTTATTCTTGAAAGGCAGGTCCTGTCTGGTTTAAGTGTTTGAAAGAAGGTGTTCCTCCTAGTTCATGTTTCTTGAGAATTGGTTGTGGGTTTTTTTATTTCATTTCCTCTTTTACCTTCTGAGGAAAAGACCAAGCTGCCCTCATTTGTGCAGTTGATCATAGTTCTCCATTTCTGTGGTTGTTTTGCCAGATATCCTATTATACTGGGATGTGCCCAGTCATATTGGGATATGACTCTATCCTCTTTCATTACGTGATGTTCCCTTTCTCCAGTTCCCTCTGCCTTGCAAGCACCTTCTGGACACTGTAGCTCTCAACAAGTCTGGCTGCCCCTTTTCCCCCAGCTTGCAGACACCCTCCCTTCTCCCTCCTGCCTGACCCTCTGCTCCTCTCCAGGTGAACTATACCATCCTGGCAGAGGTCTGCAACCTGTGGCGTAACTACGATGACATCCAGGACTCCTGGGACAGCGTGCTTTCCATCCTGGACTGGTTCTCCGCAAACCAGGACGTGCTGCAGCCAGTGGCTGGCCCTGGTCACTGGAATGACCCAGACATGGTGCGGCTGGGTGGTGGGTGGAATGACACTGGCCAGGGATGGGAGGTCTCTGGGGATCCTCTTCTAGGTGCAGGGTGGAGGAAGAGTGCCCGGAGCAGGAGCCCCATTGCTGCAAAAAGGCAAAGCTCATGTTGCCCGTGGCTAAGCTGTGGGAAAAGCCTGTGGTTGTAACGAAGCCTTCGCTGCTCAAATAGACCTGTCGAGTTGTCCAGGTGTTCTTGTCCTTCCCTGCCACAGCTTGAGGGTGGATAGTGGTGAAGCAAAGGGTGTTAGCAAGTGCCTTTGGATGTGTGCTGGTGGCTCAGCACCTAGCAGGGGTGGGATGTCCTGGCAATGGCAGGCTGCTTGAGGGGAAGCAAAAGTACACACAAGGTTTCCCAGGTCTGTGTCCTCCCAGCAAGCTATAACTTCACCAAAGGTGACAAGCAGACAGGTTTCTAACCCTTTTCTGCCTCTCCCATCTTTTCATCTTCTCCCCTCCCAGCTCATCATTGGAAACTTTGGCCTGAGCTATGAGCAGTCACGCTCTCAAATGGCCTTGTGGACGGTGATGGCAGCTCCACTCCTCATGTCCACGGATCTCCGCACCATTTCCCCACGTGCCAAGGAGATCCTGCAGAACCGCCTGATGATCCAGATCAACCAGGACCCCCTGGGAATCCAGGGGCGCAGGATTGTCAAGGTTAGGGGGAAGGTGGGCACATTTTGGGAGAGCAGACAGGGGCAGCACGGGGTGTCACAATAAGGAGGGAGAGGAAGGTGATGCAGAGAATCATGAGCAGGAGAGCTGGGGGCCTGCTGGCAAGATCCTGCAGGGTAAGACCAAAAGTTACGGGCCAGCACTGGTCCCAGAAGCTCTGCCTCACCCACCCATCCCAACCCCTAGGAGAAATTCGACATCGAGGTGTTCCTGCGCCCTCTGTCCCAGGGCACCAGCGCTCTTGTCTTCTTCAGCCGGAGGACAGATATGCCCTTTGTCTACACCACCAGCCTGGCCAAGCTCCACTTTCCTGAGGACACCGTGTATGAGGTGAGCCCCACGGCACCTGGATCCCCCTCTTTCCAGCTTCCCCTTTTGCATTTTGGGGAGGGGGGTGGATTCCTTGCCTCCAGGCTGAAGGGGCAGCTGCTCGTTGGGTCACCCTCCTGTTGCCTGCTGCTGTGCCCTGTCCTGCCGTGCCATGTCAGTGACAATGGCTGGACCTCAAGATGAAAGGTCTGTGGAAATCCCAGTAGCCACCATCTCTGTCTTCCAGGTACAAGATGTGTACAGTGGGAAGATCATCAGTGGCTTAAAGACAGAAGACAGCTTCTCAGTCGTTATTAACCCCTCGGGGGTGGTGATGTGGTACCTCTGTCCCAAAGCGCTCCTGGTGCAGCCCTGGCATGTTGTCAGACAGCAAGCCCCCGGCGAGCGTTTCCCCCCGGTCCTCCTGTGACGAGGCTCAGCAGATGGGGGTGTGGGTCAGTGCCGGGGTGAGCTCTGAGACCCTGGGGCACGTGGCTCTTCACTGCACAAGTGCCTTTTGCTGGAGCGCCCAGCAGTGCTGGGGAGTGACCCTTCCCTCTGGTACCATCTTGATGATGTCTACTCAGTCTGCGTAAAGCAGGAGTTCCTGTTACCCGCCTCCTAAGCGCGTGCAGAGCGTAATTCCTTGGTGATGGCAAAGCCCTTAGAGATCCTCCTGTGGAAGATGCCTTGCAAGCAGAGCTCAGCTGCTGTTGGAGTTTGTCAGCTCTGACACCTGAGCACTTCACCGCTTCAAGCTGGGTACCACTGGTTGCTGCAGGGGCTGTTTGAACTATACCTGTAGAAAGGCTTTGGATGCTTTAGTGTCTTCTAGGGTAGCGACCACCCCTCTGTCCTCTTGGCATGTGTGATGGCATTAGCCTCAAGACGTGGTCACCTTCTTTCCTTTGCTATAATTGGCTTGGCTTAGAATAAAGGGCTGTCAATAGGGCTGCACCCTTCCTGTGTACCCTCCTTGGGACCAAGAGCTCCTGGAGGCATCATGGTCCTGTGCAGAGGCTTTGCTTGCAGGCCTGACCCTGAAGACCACCACTACTCCAGCCTAGTAGCCACGCTGGCATTGCATTAAAGCCCCTCTGGTACCAGTTTCCAGCAGTGCAGAGCAAAAACCTTCATTGGCCATGGCCAACCCCAGCAGCCTTGCTGTGGTACAGCACTAAAAACTGCAGAGCTGTAGCATGTTGTGCACGAGTGGTGTCAGGAAGATGCCAGTTCTCAGTTGGTGTTGTCTTTTCAGTTGGAAGATGGTCACGGATGTCTCTGAGCTGTAAGCTGCATCCTGTTCTTGGTCTAGCAGGAAATTCCTGCTAAAAGGGGGCTGAACACCCAAGGGTTTCTCAGGGAAAGGCTCCTCCTTCTCCCAAGGGCAGCTACATTCACAGCTTCATCCTGAGGAGGAGCCAACAATCCTGGAGGGAGTGGCGGGACAGACTAGAGGCCTCAACTGCTTCATCTTCATACAACGCGCATCCTATGGAGGAGTTTTCGGTGAGATACAGTCTACCTTGACTGCCCCAGAGAGGGCTGCAGCGTTCATGAAGTTTGCCTCCTACAATTGCAGCACAGGGAGACTGACACAAGATTAAGCCTCAGATGGGGGAAATACCACATAAAAAAGAAAAAGGTTCCCCTTTCTATTCAGATGTTGGAGGGTTCCTGATCATCTGGCCACTCTGGTTCCTGCAGGACCAAATGGCAGATTCTGGCCACTTCCAGAAACTCTCTCAGAGTGCAGCAGCAAGATGCCAAATGTGATGCTTGCAGTGGTGACAGGAAAGGAGGAGTGCATGTCATGCCTGTATCTAGGAGCTGGCTTTGTTCTTGGGGAGCGACTGAGACAAATTAATTGAAATAAAAAGGGGAAGCAGGTCACAGGCTCTCTGTTGCGTGTTTATTCAGTGTTGCTAGCTATAGCTACTTGGTTAAGGTAGGATTACAAGGTCATCACCTCAAAAGAGGAATAACTATGCTAAGAAATAGAACTGGTTTCCTGTCAGAGACTGGACTGATGCAGAGTAGGAAAGGGCTTCCCAGTAGTTACACCATGGTCAATAGGGCAACGCCTTTCCTTGGCACAAAAGGAAACAGATTTTACAGTCCGCAGTAAACCCTTTCCTTACTGTGTATTTATTTTTCCCTCACGGGAAAAAAAAAAAGGCTAGCAAGGAGTTTCTCTTAAAACTCTGGCAGTAAGTGTACATGGGAGAGGTGCTATGAATACAGTCACAGTGGTGACAGTATTCAGGGTGGTGACACGGCCCCTACTAAAAGCAGTGTTGTGCCTGCCCCAAGGACACAAATGTGTGCCAGTTCTGCATACCTGGCTGACAGCAAACGCACAAACTAGCTGTCCACTCTCCCCAGGCAGCAAGAGGATGAGCCTCACCTTCTTCTCTCCCCCCAGTTACTTGATTCCAGATCCAGCTTAGCCATACACCAGGCAGAGAGAAGGACTGGCCCACAGCTGGCCCAAGAGACCACCACCAGTGGTTGTTGTTTGTTCCAGCCTTTTGTACAGTAGGCAAGAATGAAGGTCAACACAAGACACACACAACAGTGAACAGGCAGAAAAAGGTATCAACACTCCTGTATTAAAGTGCAATCCAAAAAGTTATAAACATTCATGGTTGATTTTTTTTTTTTTTAAATACAGGGTTAATAGAATATCTCTAATTCAGACTTAAAAGACATTCATAGATATGGAAACTAACTTACCCCCCATGCAGGGCTGCTTTAGGAATTCACACTTGCAAGTTGTGCAAGCCTGACTTAACAGGAGAGCCCTGGCAAGCAGGGAAGTAAGAGGGAAAACACTCCTTCCCCTTCACTGTGAAGGTAGGAAGGCCGTAGGAAGTAGTACGATCACCCTATATATAAAGGATCACAAAGGTCTCCACCAGACTACCAGAGACTCTCTTCAGAGCAGGTTTAATGGCACTATGTCCTAAGGAAGAAGGAAAGGTTGTGGCCGAGCAGCCAGTCTCTGCAGGAGAGCTGAGCCTTTGTAGCATCCACACCAGGCAGTGGTTCCCAGCTGAGGGAGGGCGCTGCACCCCTCAGCAACCCAACTCCACTTCTACAGCGCCCACCCTCCTGCGCTGCTCAGATATGGGCAAACAGGCCCTGGCTGTAGCAGCCCAAGGATGAGATGGAGGCCAGTTTTCCCCTGTGGAGCGAGCACACAGCACAAGCTTGCTCAGCAGAGGGAGCCAGGGCTGTGGGACCTGTCTCCTGACAAGGCTAGTGCCAGGTCACCTTCCTAATGGAACGTATTTCGCTCCAAGGCAAGCAGCCTCCTGTGCAGCACTTGACTCCATTAGGCTTGAAGAAGGGCTGCTCGACACAGGATCATTGCACAGACGTGGGACCTGCTTCTAGGAGAGGGAAAGGAAGACTGATTGGCATGCCTGCCAGGATCAGCATGCTGCCCTGCAGACACACCTCTGTTTGCTTTTCTATTCAATGTCTACAAGGGCAGGGGTGACTGGGGCCCGTGCCCCTCCCTCTTGCGCAGCCAAATGCTTCAGTGTCTCTTAGGATGCACTTCCCAAGTTCATCACACCATGACTCTTAATCCACGAGATGAAACACATTTCCAGCATGATAAAGGATTTCCAGAGTCCCAACTCACGCTGAGCTGTGCCACAATTTAAGGAAAGTTAACACCTTTCCGGGGCACCCAAGAGTTTATGCAAGGAACCTCAGGGCTCTCTATGCCTTTCCTCTTGGATGGTGCTTCAGAAGAAGTCTAAAGTTTGGCATTCCAAGTAGTTTTACTCCAAGATCCCAGAGCCTTTAGTCCTAGATTAGTGATGTGGTCTACTGCTGGTTTAAGAAGTCCATCTCTCTCCTTAAGCCAATGGCAGAGCAAAAGGTTAGTGCTTCAACCCCATGAGATAAAGCAAATAAGCAGGGAAGTGCTGTTGTTCCACCTTGTATTGCCACTGACTTTACGTTTAAGGAGGGCAGGTGCTCCCCTGCCCAGCATTACATATATTGTGTATATACCAAGAGACCTAGAGATACGCTAACCGGAGGGGTAGTAACAGCCAAGTTGTCTTCAGGGAGAGAGAGTGCGGGAGACTGGTTGCAATTTCCTTCTGTTAGTTGTTCTTCTTATCCTCAGGAGGTGTGTAAGGAGGTGGCTGATCCTGGAAGGAGATACAGAAGAGTCAACAACCCTGCTGATTTTGTGATGAACTCTTCCCAGGCGTTCCCAGGCTTGGCTTCCAAGAAATGACTGTTCTTCGGTGAGCTACAGGCAGAGCCGGGTGCTGTGTTTGAAGCTGGCATTTCACCAGATCATTCCTCTCCAGTATCAGCTACGCTCCAGAATATATGCTACTTGTCATGTTTTCTAGTAAGGTCCCCTCAAAACCAGGTAACAAACGGTCTATTGCAAACAGACTTAATCTGTTTTAATCCCTATCCTCCCCTTCACTTCCAGGGCTTTGTCTCTGTTGATGTTCTGACCCAGCAGACAGCAAGTCCCTGAACTGGGGGCCAGCTTTGCTGCTCCATCAGCGTCCCACCCACCACAGAGCCACGCGAGGCAGTGAAGGGCACAGGCAGACTGGCTGTCACATACCAGATGCAGGCTACAGCCCACCTACCAGCTGCCACTGACTGAATTGTAAAAGACCTCCCCAGCTCCACGCAGCCCAGAAAAAAAATTAAAACTAAACCCTCATGCTCTCATCCTTCAGTGGCCACTCTCCCCAGCTTCAGGCCCAACAGAAGCAGAGAGCTTCTGTTGTACTGAATGGCTGTTACTGGGTGAACCTTCAGGCACTCCTCCTTTCCTGACTGACGATTTAACGAGCCCTCTCCGTGGCACTAGAATCCACACCTCCCAGGGACACACGTACTTTCTGTGCATGTCCAAAATGAAGGCACGCTAAGCTTTGCTAGGAAAGCCAACTGCTGCCTCTGTGAGTGACAGAAGAGGGAGCAGGCACAGGCAGACCACAGGCACGGTACTCACCATGGGCATGTACACGTTGTGTGGGTTGGCTGGATTGTAATACGCACTGGAAGCGGCTTCCATGGCCTTATTGCTCCCTAGAAAGGAAAAAGAAGCCATCTTACATGCTTTAGGCAGTGACACAAGCCCCAGAGCCTTCTCCCCAGCCATAGCTCTTTTGAGGAGTCAACAAGCGTCCAAGGAGCTAGCAGCAATCACAGAAAGCTGGGTTTGAGCTCAGAGAAGTTCAGGAAAGCCATAAGCTGGCTAGAGCTGGCCACAAGCTGTGCAGTGCAGAGCTGAGCAGTTCCCCCCACGCTATCTCAAATAATGAATCAAGAGGACTTTGAGCTCCTGCAACACCTTCCCCACCCCACGCTGTGCCCACAATGCCACCCAAACCCCAAGCCCCCAAACACCCTTTAGCACCCAGACCATGGAACCCCCCCATCCCATTTACCTGGCATCCCTGGGCTCACCCAAGCTGGGGGAGCAGAGGGGGCTGAGGGTCCTGCAGGAGATGGCCCGGAGTAGGGGGGAGGAGGTGGCACATACACAGGGTTCATGTTTGGAAGTGGTGGGTAAATACCTGAAAAAGATGACACTAGATTGATGCTTTGGATGGCAGCAGTGGGACAGAGGGAAAGAGAGATAACAGGCCCAGCAGACAGGGGCTCTGGACAAGAGCAGTGGTGAGGGAAGCTCTGTGGGCTTGGCAGGGATGGAGACAGCAGGGATTTGACATTTTGCTAATGCCCAGCATGTCAGCAAGCAAACAATTCTCTGCCAATCAGCAGCACAACTGACAAACCACATTTTCATCTCCCATCCGGCTGCAACAATAGAGACACACGTATGCAATCAATAGCACATGACAGATTTTTGAAAGGACAAGGATCCTTGATGGAAACAAAACTACAATGACCCTCATAATACCCTTGTGTTTTTTTTATTTTTTTTTTCCAACAACTAACACCAAACACACCCTGCCAGTCATCATTACACAACTTCCAAACCTGGAGTCTGGGCATATGGATATCCCATGGGCTGTGGAGCTGGTCCGTAGGCGCTCATCGGAGGTGGTGCATAAGGATATGGTCCGTTTGGTGGTGGAGGAGGAGCGTAGCCCCCCGGAGCCGGTGAATAACCCCCAGGAGCAGGTGGGGGGGGTGCATATCCTCCGGGAACAGGGGTATAGCCGTAGCCAGGGTTCTGGAGAGGAACGCCACTGGAAGCTGAGAAGCACAAGTTTAGTAAGCCAGACATCCTTTTGTTACAACTAAACGTAGAGAATGAAAGGAAAACAGTCCTGGTCATGCAGCACTATTTCCCTTCATCTAAATTCACGACACATTCCTGGCATAGTACTGTGCTTGAAAAGCATTAGTCTCCTTGCTGCAAGTTCACAGGGTGCTAAAGGAAACTAGCCGCAAAAATACGAGCTATCTATAAAATACCAGTCCCATCACAGAGCTCCCACTGCTGGAAGAAAAGACCATTCTAAAGCAAGAATCAGTAGGGTGGGTTTTCCTTATTTTTAAACTTTCTTATCAGAAAAAAAAAAAAAAGAGTACATTTTAAAATGCACATTTCTCTAAAAAGAAAACTCTCATCAGAAAAATGTACATTTCCCCCTCCATTTGAAAGTTTTAAATAGAAGTTATTTTTCTAAATTTATTTTTCCCCTCTCCAAATGTACACATATCAATTTCCTCCATCTTAATCCACTATTATAGAACTGAGCTGAGGGTAGGTAAGTGAATCAATTTTTCGCTATCACATGTTAACTTTATTCCAGGAGGAATAAGGTTCTGTAGAAAAAGGTGGTTCACCTTAAAAGCACAAACCCCAGAATACTCCTTTGCACAAAGCACTAAGGGGAAATAAAGAAAAAGGATTGGAAAGGAAAACACAACTTCCCCTGGAAAGAGAAAAAATACATTGCTGTGGAAGAGCACATAGTGTACCCTTCTTCCCACAAAGTTCAAAAAGAGGACTATCCTCTAACTAGCTCAGCCAGCCATGGGGGAACCGCAGGCTCTGAAGATCCCTTACCGCTAGAGGCAGCTTTGAACATCAGCTGTCCAAACTCAATGGCTCCTCCGCTGTTGAAAGTCAGTTTAAACGTCCCCTGCCCTTCCCAGCCACCTAGGAGAGAGAAAATTGTCATTGAAACAGACTACTAACCTCCTCAGTAGCAGACAAGACAGCAAAAAAGGTAATACTCTAACTATTTTTTCCTTCCTTATTTCAAAACTATTCTGCATCCTATTGCCAGGGGGAAAGAATCGTGGCGTTGCTACCAAATGTCTCCCAAAATAGTATCTCAAGAAGATCAGGAATTTATTTCTTTACCCTTTAAAAGTTGATCCCCACTATAGTTATGTGGAAGCAGCCTACTCTACGTACTAGGTTGTTTTGTTCTTTCCTGAAATTTTTAATAGAACCTGATAATGAACACAGTGTAAAGAAAGAACACTTAATTCACCGAGGATTTTAATTAAAAGCCTTCAAATGAGGTTTTATTGCTGACCTCAGTAGACTACAGATCAGGATCCGCAACACAAGTTAGGATTTAAATCAGATGCAACATTTTTAATCTCTTTGACCCACAGAAGGTCAGACAGATTATCAATGCTTAGGTATAATAGCAATTTTTCAGAAAAAATTCAAGTAGGTGATGATATTGCAAAATAAGTAAGACTGCTTTGTTTTGTAGGGGCTTTTTTAGTGGGTTCTCCTGGGGGGATGCTTTGATTTTTTTAGAAAAAAGTTATTTAAGTAAAAGATTTTGTAAAATAAGATTTATCTTCCCCATCTCACAATGAAGTTAGTAAAAGTAGAATTAGTTTCTTGGCAACAATGTAGAAATAAAGTATAGAAATAGAACAAGACAATTCACCATGGATAAAGTCACCCCCTTGGAGACTCACCTCTTTAAAACCACTGTCTTCATATGATTTCAGCCCCATAAAGTGGGCTGATCCACAATCCCCAAAGGACCCAGTCACTTTAAAACATTGTTATGAACACAAAGCAAAAGCATAAGCTACCCAGATGCCATCAAAATGCACATAAACTAATTCCAGGGCTGAAGAGGGAAGAAACGTGAACCAGAAACTTTGTTTTTAATCCCTGTTTATCTTCTGCAATTCCCTATGTTTGATCATGACCATAAGTCTTAGTACAGTTTCATCATGAAATTGGGAACAAAGCTAAATCAATGATGTACAGCAGCATCCAAGATGCAGGCAAATGTACCCAAGCGGCTACTGACCTCCAGAAAACAAAAGTGCTTGCTAATTCTGTCCATCAATACCAATGGCTGGTGACTTGGTCACTCACCCACCCTTCCAGGGCAAAGACAAGGGAAAAATAGCCCAAGTGGAAACTGAGTAAACATGACATAGACAGCAAGACAGAAGTTACAGGATTAAATAAAACTTATCCTGTGAAAGTCAGTTACTATCTTTGAGGGCAGAAAGTAACACAGAAGCAGTGCCTTAAATTTCAGAAGACACAAATTCCTCAGCGTGGATGCGCTAGCTATACTGCCACGGCTACCCTGTCTGTCTTTTCTATGCCCATAAGCCATTTATGCCATGTTCAGCAGAAAAGGACTTGTGACACCTGGGAAAAGTTCAGTCTACAAAGCACAGACACATACCTCCTGCCTCAGCCTGAATCTGTCCTTTGATGTAATTGGCAGAGAAAACAGGCTGTTCGATCGAGCATCCTTTCACCAAATAAAATGGCATCATGAAAGACAGCATCGGATCCTTGCCCTTCGACACAAAGATCATCTGCAAGACAGGAGGGAACGCCTCTGAATTACTTGAATTAGATATAAAGAGAGGTCACAGAGTTATAGTTGTAACAGGATCCAGAAAGAAGGTAACTTAACTCCTCATATCAGTATGCATTGTGTTATTTCACAGCTTAACATTGCGGGATCCCAAACAGTGGCACATGGCTCACTCACCTGAAACGTGTATATTGCACAATAACATACCACTCTAAACACACATGCACATTTACCAAGTTTTGTTGTTCTGCTTTTTAAATATAAGCTATGACAGTTTCCAAAGTAGTATTGACTAAGACATTATATTAAATATATTCTTTAGACGGGGATTTCCAGGACTGCACATGCCTTTGTAGGGAATTGGGATTGCGACACAGGCATGAACTATCCTATTTTTATCTTCCCTTCTCCTACCTAGTAGTCTCAGTGGTTCTTCCCATAACAAAAATCACTTCCATCACCAACTAGGTTTCTAGTCTAAAGTCTACAAGATCCCTTGACAAAGCAGAAGCCCTGCTGGCATCAGACTTACCCTGTAAGGGGTGAGATACAACATCCCCTTCTTGGTGCCTTTGAAGATTTCAGGCTTGCCCGTCACGTCACTGAAGGAGAGCTCCACATCTTTACACTGTTTGAGAACGCTAAGGGACAAAATTGGAGGGAGAAACTCAGGAACAGCTCTGACACACACCCACCCAGCACACAGAAAGAGGGGGAGCACACCAGAAACTCTGAATATTATCCCAAAGGACCCAGTTCTGATGTGGGCCCTGTTGTTTTTACACTGAAAGGAGATGGATGATTTACTGAGTGGAAAAATTCATCCTCTCACGTGTGACAACCTCTGCTCCTGCTCCATAAAGGGAAGCTTTAAATGACAGTTTCTCTTTATTTCCAAAAGCATCAGACTGAGAAATTCCCCTCTCCACATGAGAAGAGCCTCAGCCCAAAGGTGAGGGCACAGAAAGGGTGGAGGTGCCTGAAATCACCCCCTTGAAGCCAAGGTATCATCTCAGAGCAAGCCTCTCTCCCAGTCCTTGCCCAAGCCCAGGACTGGCCACGGCAGGGGAAGACAGCACTGCTGTAACACTGCACCCACTGTGCAAACTGAGGAAGTTCCTTCAACTAATACCCTCACTGCTGACCCTGCTTCACGTGACTTAAGTAAATGTTTGTAATGAACAGCACCATGCTAAGGAACAAAAGCAGGAGGCAGTCATGTCAGCAATATTGTTGGATATGTAGGGGAACATGAGCAAAGTTTGTTAATGACACAGTCAGATGAGTACTGTGAACGCTGCAGGGGCAGGGATATGGAGATGCATGAAAAATTACATGTATTTTCAGGAAAAATGAAAGAGTCCACTTGGGAAAGCATTTCGCTGAATCTACAGCGCAAATCCTAAATATACTACCTAGTAAGAAAATTTGTAGAATAAACAAAAGAGCCTTAGGGGTGACAAGCTTGCAGTGGCAGAATCCAAGGCATTTTATGGTTCAAGAGCATCTAAAAAGAAATCACAAAACCCTAACCCAAATCTGGAGCAGCCGGATCTGAAGTAATCATATGTGTTCTGATCAGCTTATGGGTAGAAGCCAGATCAAGCCACGACTTAGGAAATTGCAAAATTTCTGGGGGAAGGGAGGAATCAGCAGGGCCACCATACGAGAAAACAACCAAAAGCCCTGTAGTTCCAGGTCATGTGCTTTTTAGGAAAAACATCACAGTATAGATGTATGTGAAAAGGAAGGGAGATGACATTATCCAAGGAAGAAGACATTAAAAAGTCTAGCTTTCATGAGGAAAAAAAACCAACCTGACCAAGAAATTCTACTGGGACATTACTTCATCCTTGAGCTCAACGCAGATTCTCAGACTGGCTGTGAGGCAGCAGAGCTCTTTCCATTTCCAAAACGCAAAGGGGAAACACTTTTCTAAGTGAAATAGAACCAACTCCTCAACAGCTCGGATTTTACCAGAACACTTCCTCAACCACGTCCTGTAGCAGCGTTTTGCTTCACTTTGCCTCACTGGGAAGTCACTAGTGAAGTGACTACGCGGTCACTTTAACCACTTTACTCCTTCCTAGCTGCTCACACAAGCAAATAACACGAAGCCACCACCACTGGATAATGAGGCTGCTGAACTGGTCTGCGCCCACATGCCCATCCAGGGCTGTCACGGGAGGGCTGTGCACCCCGCAGAGCACCCACCCAGTAGGCAGCACCTTGAAGAACAGCTTGAGGTCAAGGACAGGGCGATCACCTTTAGAGCAGCAAAAGCTCTACCTGTCAAAGGACTTCCCTGACTTGAAGCATTAGTAGTCAGTTACTAACTCAGCATTATTTGGAGCATAGAGAGTAGTCTTCCCTACTGTTTACCAGGCCCAAACCAACTTGACGGCTGTTTACTGGGCCTCTGGTTTTGGGGATTTCCCTAGGCAAGGTCGGGAGCACCCAAACACAGTCGAGGCCCGCCGAGCCGGTCTGGCAATCCCCACTCGGGGCGAAGGCAAGCGCCGAGCAGCTGGCTGTGATGCCAGGGAGAGAGACGCTCCTCCCGCCCCGAGGAGGGGACCTGCTCTGCTCGGGCCTCACCTCTAACGAAAAGCTCTCCTTGCTTTGAATTCCAGTGACTAAGACTCCTACCTTAAGTGGTCTCTGCCCCTCTGACATCACTAATTGCATGGCATAAGAAAAAAGCCAATTCCTTGTCTTTGACGCTCGCTCTTCTCCCTCTGCAGCGGCAGGAAGAGCCGCCGGACCTTCAGCGGTGAGGAGGGGGCAGGTGTCAGCCCCAGCCAGGCCCCGCCGGGGAGCTCTTTAATAACACAGGCCGCAGCCAGGCCGCCCCCGCCGGGGGGCCGAGCTAGGAGAACCCCCCCCACCCCCCCCCCACCCCGGCCCCCGGTACCTCTCGCCGTTGGGGATGACGACACCACCCTCCTGCGAGTGGTTCCTGTTCAGCGCCATCTTGCCCCGTCCCCCGCGCTGGCACCGGCCCCACCCCTCACCCTGTGACGTCGTCCCCTCGAGACACCTCCCTGACGACGCCCCGCCCCCGTCAGTGACGCCTGCCCGGCAGGCGGCGCGCGCGCGGCGGAAACGAGGCGGCGCGCGGCGGAAATGAGGCGGCGGCGGATGTCAGAGGAGTCCGGTTTAATGGCTGCCGGCAGAGGGGACGCTACAGCTGCGGCCGGAGGCGCTGTCCGGCTCGGCCCGGCCACCGCGTTGGGCGCGGGCGCCTAGTCTGCCCCAGGCCCGCCGGAGAGGGCCGTGGTCCGGCCTCTCCTCCCCCGGCGTGGCGGCGGCCGGCTCCCACCTGGGCCCGAGGCGGCCGTGGAAGGCGCTTTCCCGCCCCCCGCCGCCCCCGGTCCGATGTGCGGCTGAAGCGCGGTTTTGGCCGCCCTCCGTTCGCGTCAGCCTGGCAGCGCCGCTTCCCGGGGCCTTCGCTGGGGCGGGAAAGGTGGTGGCAAGGCAGCCTGTCCCCCGAGCCGGTCTGCTCGGCGACCGCCGTGAGCCGTAGTGACCTTCTCCTCACAACTAGTCACAAAACACTCGTGCCTACGCGTCGCGCTGCTCTCCGTTGCTCTCCCTGCTGACAGCACGGCCACACCTGCCGTGGGCTTCCTTACCCAAATGGAATTTGTCCAGTGTTAAATAAAAACAAACCCCGACCTTAGGGATTTACCGTGCATTGCAAAAACTTTCTGGTCAATGGCTTATGGGGTGAAGCGTTCTCTGAGTCCCTGAACGCACTGAGGGGGAACCTCTGGTGTAACATTTACCCCTCTGTGATACCGTTAAGAGATACCTCTGAGAGGAACAGCTGACTGGCCATGGTCGTCCTGGGACTCGGCTGGTGGCACACGAGAGCTAGGATCCCTTCAGGCTTTTCCCAGCTTATCCATCGGCACAGAATTTTTCCCAACAGTACTTCTGCTGTTGCGCCTCATGGGAAATATTTGATGATTGGCCATTTGTAGACTTTCTGGTAGATCTGCAGCTACTGATAGGATATTTGCATGGGCAGATGGCAGTGAGGAATACCTGAGCTTGCTTTTCTCAGCGAGCTTTTATGGATCCTTTAGAAATCGTCCATGATCTGGCAGGAACTTATAGAGCAGAGCTTAAAAACCACTTTGTTACAAACAAACAAAAATTCTTAAACATAGAGGGAAAAACACACAGCTTTGTCCTTGTGGTCCACATTAGAGGCAAAGGAAAATCTCTCTCTTCTGTTGCGTGGGGTCTGCTTTGCTTTCAATAAGCAGGGCAGTGTTGGCTCTGCATTAACCCTTGTTTGGGCCCAAAAGTCGTAGAAATGATCATAATGCAGCCCGATGGCAAGAGAGTTCCTCTAGAGCAGTCGCACGGCTGCCAAAGAGCTGTGTGAAAAAGCAAGTGTAGGGAACACCTCCAAATACTCCCACTAAAGACGATGGAGTGTGGCTTCATGCTTCAGTGCAGTGAAGAAGAGGAGCCCTGGAGGAGTCTTTTCTGTTGCACTGGGTTAAAAACATTACGTAGGAGCAGCCACAGCAGAGTAGGCTGAGAAGATGCTTCTGGCAGCTGGTGATGCTGGAGACACCTCCACGCCTGGCCAGCTGGTGGAGACGAGCTGGGAGGAGGCTTTGACCCTGCTTTGGGCTGTGGATGGCCAATGTGGGTGCTGGGTTGGGTAGCAGTGCAGCGGGGATGGATTCTGCAGGGTCCATGGTACAGCTGCTGGCACCAGTGATGAGGCTTTTGTTCTCTGTGGGGCCAAGGAGGCCTGGTGCAGGGGGGAAGGTGGGTGCAAGGCTATGTGCACACTCTGCATACAGGAACACCAGGAGCCGTGAACGTGGGTGTGACAGGACTGTGAAGGACTAGTATAGCCCTCATGTCCTAGCAGTTGTGTGGACAGGTGGGGAGCAGGAGTGGAGAGACCTTTGCTTTGCAGTGACAGCACCAGAGAAAGCCACAACATGGACATATGCTCTTAGACAGTTCTACTAAGGCTTGGAACACCCTCTTGCCAGCCATGGCGCCTCTACAGCTCTGTCAATCAGCCTCAGTCCTGGCTCCCCTGCTACTCCCTCACTGGGACCTCTTCCTCCCTCCCATGCCAGCCTCTCCAAGCCCCCCATCCCAAACCCACTGCACTTCCCCTTACTTGCACTGCTGCCATCCCATGCCATGGCATTCTGCACATGCGTTTTAAGCACAACCAGCTATTGTTCTGGAACTGACATTCCCTCCCATCCATGTGACATGCTAGGGGACAGGCAGAGACTGACAAAATCAGGACATCTGTCATTTTCTCCTCTCCTACCTTCTGCCCACCCAGCCCTGACACAAGCAGATAGTCTTCAGTAAAGCTGTACGTCTTTCTGCTCCTGGTCTTTACCTTCCTTCCCTGTCCCTTCCAGGGAAGGTAAACCATCAGCTTCTTAACCCAACAGAAAAGCACATTGAGGAAGAGGAAGTGTGAGAGCTGGGACAGGGAGAAGGAGGAAACAGCCTGGAGAAGAGGAAGATTCAGGTACTCGGGGAAAGGAAGGAGAGACAGAATGGGTTGAGAGCAGAGAAAGAAGGATAGGGAAAGGAAGGAAGCAAGCAAACAAGCAAGCTATGGAGGACTAAAAGGGAATGAAGACAAAAGCACAGGAGAGGACATGGAAGCTGGGAGGGGAGTAGGAGAGCGGAGGAGCAACACAGGCTGAGACTGCTGGGGTAGCAACGGCGGCCGTTTCAGTGAGCAGGAGGTATCTCTTGTGTTCCCACCACCATTGGAGACCCAGGGAGACACCCTGGCCCAGGGCTTCTCAATCCATGGCTCTTTGCACTCCTCCAAGATCCTGAAGGCCCTGTGCTGAGTGGGGCTGTCCCTGGGGGAGCCCCCGACAGGGACACCCCATGGCACTGTCTTCCCTGTGCTCCCACAGCAGAGGGACCTTGTTGTGGGGGAAAGGTTTGGCCAGGACCTTCTCAGTGCTGGTGAGGAGAGATTGCTGCAATGGGGGATGAGGTGGGGTCACCTCAGGACAGCTTGGTCTCATCTGCACAGGATCAAAAGCCTGTGACACAAGCAGGACTTTTGACCTTAGTGCTGGGCAGGGCAAATCCACCCTCTGCAGCAGGAACATATTATTTTCCTCTGCATTTTGTTTCTTTCGGAAAATATGTCTATTTCCCCCAAGTATTTTATGCTTCTCAAATAGATGCTACAGCCCAAGAACTAATTCTGTCCCCTCCCACTGGTCACTTCCCCTGAACCATAGAACATGTCAGTCTGTCATTTCTCCCATCTAACCACTTCCAAGTTGCCATTTCCCCTTAGGAAGCCACAGCAAAGAATGGGTAAAAAATGCTGGGCCACCATGCCCTCAGACCAACCAGCTGTCTTCCCACCCACCGAGGACCCAAGAGAAAGCTCTGCTGCCATCACTTTAAGACACTGCATGCTCTGACTGCACCATCTCTCCTGGAGTCTCTCCTTGCCATATCTTCAAGTGATAAAACTAGAACCACAGCATGCCCCAACACCTCCCACCTCCAAAGCCCCGCTGCCCCCAGAAATCCTTCCCCCCATCCCTATTCCCCCCAGGCAAGACACACAGCTGAGACACAGAAACAAGAGAAAGGAAGATGACGGACAGTCCGCTGTGCAAAAAACAAACCGAGAATGAGGACACTCTGGGAAGGACGGGGGAGATGCTTTTGGTCCCTTTTTCAGCACACGCACGCACTCACGCTAGCATCCTCTCACGCACACAGAGGATGCGCCACATGCTTCAGAGACAGGCCCATGGGAGGGTCAAGGGTAGCAGGGGTGGGTTGTTGTATCCGGAGACACCAGGTGACAGCGGAGCTGGGGGTGGGTGGGTCATTCACAGGTTACTTTCGTGGTTTTCCTCTGTCTCAACAGTCATGGGGGGCAGCCCTCCGTTGTCATTCAGCCGCTTGGCCCTGTAGGTCTCATAGTGGATGTTGTGGGTCACTTCTTTTAGGTCCTGAAGGTGGGTCCTGCAGGGGGCAAAGCAAAGATGAGGTTGGAAAGAAGATACGATGACCAATATCAGCGCAGTCAGTATTAATCTTCCGATGATCGTTTTGTTGCCCGAGATAAATAGGAGATTTCTTCAGTCAGTCTGGCTAATTGAGATCTTTCTGCATGGATGGCGTGGGTGCCATCACGCACAGCTGAGAGCTGGAGCATCAGCATTCAAGAACACATATGTAGGATGCAGGATATGGGCAGAAATACCTGGTTGTGCTTGCCAGTATTCTGCCCTTCTCACACCTGTGCCAGTGGGACAGCTACTGGCCATCCTAGTGTGTCAGAGCAGACGTGGGCTTACCTCATCTGAAGCACAGGTGAGACAAGGAAGCACCAGGAGGCTGTATCAGGTCCACTACTTGACATAGTGTCACTAAGAGAGGCACTAGAGTATCTACCCTTTAACTCAATCCAACCCTACCCCACATAAGCTTTCACTGCCTCAAATGTACTTTATGTTCCTTTTCATAGGAGCTATTTCACTCTAAGAGGGTCTCAGGAAGACTCCTTGCTCAAAAGCAAACTGGTGCATGACCACGGCCTTACCTGATGACAAAATCTCGAAGTAGGGCAAATTCACAGTGAGTGAGGTTTTCCACTGAAAAGAAAGCAAGCCATTGTTATGTTTGAGTTTTTCAGCAACACCCATTGTGGTTGCAGAGCATGGGAGGTCATTGCCATGGAGCAGGTTCCAGGTGGGCAGAGCCTGCATACTTCAGAACGGACAGACAGTTGTGTGAACATCACACACTCAGGCGCTGAGCAGACATGCTGCCAGGTGCTGAGCAGTCACATGTGAACTTTCATTTGAAAACCAAGGCAGTCTCAGGAGCTCAGCTTCACACACCATGGTGTTCAGAGTAGCTCCGGCTTCTGCCAGTTGGCAGTAGTGGTACCACATTGACCACGGCAGTTCCCTCCCAGCAGACCTATTTTGGAATTCTCCCCTTGCTTGGTTTCAAAAAGTTTATTGCAAAAGGGATGGAAAGGTAGCCATGGAGCATGTTATTTGGACCTTTGTCTACTACTGGGGCCTGCAGAGATACTTTCAACTTCCAGAAGCAAGTTTTTTTTTTACCTTCAATGATTCCCCAAGGTGTTTTCCTGCCCAGGACTCTTTTGCCATTCACTTGGTACTCCTTGTCGCTGCCCACTACTGCGAAGGGCATGCTTTCCTGCTGGGGAGAGACATGGGGGGAGACCTATTGAACCCGTTCCAGAGAGCAGCACCATCCACCTTTCCTCATCCCAGCTCAACAACACAAAGCCTTCTTCAAGGGAATATGTTCTTCAGAACAACACTTCACTGGCTTTCCTCTTCAACCCTCAGTGTATCCCTTGCATTTTGGGCCCTTGCTTTACAGGTGTCCACACATCCCCCAAGTTTAGTGGGTAGCTTGCAACAGTGCCAAGGGCTCTGTCATTTCTGAAGAGGGGGGTGACCAGAGAGGAAGTACCTTGGCATAACCTGGAGCACAGGGCTGCTCATATGGATAGTTTCCAGTGAGTGTTTCTCAAGGTGTTTGTAGTTCTTCACCAGGAGAAGGAAAGGACTCAAAATAATTCTCCCCAACAAGACACGTAAACATTCAACAAGTTTTATGGCTGAAACGGTTGTACTGAGAAAGGTCAGAAATGGGGCAGGGGTGCAGCTTTCCTGAGAAGTGGGACAGTGGATGAGGCTGTTGGAGACACAAATATTTCTAAGTACAGGGAAAAACTATTTGTTGCCAGAACATAGAGTGCATGAGTCCCTGCTATCTATAAGGCTGTGCAGATGTTCATAGATTTACTCTGCTTTATAGATGTCCCTGGGCCTGGGAAGGGACTGCAGTTACCAGAGGAATGGAGATTATAAAGCAGTTTATTTCTTATGTGTGAGACTATCCAAACCTAGGGCAATGATGCTGAAGTGCAGAACGAAATGTGGAGCCCTCCTCAAAACCAGTAACAGTTTGGAGAAGAAGGAAAACCCATCTAGTCTTCTCCAGAATGTGTGATGTATTGCCAAATGGGAAATGATTAATTAAAATGGGGAAGGTGGGAATTTCTGCTGGGGCTGTGACAACTGGGGGACTTGAAATCGGGCTGCAATACAAGACTTCTGGAGTTACTTCAGGACTGCCACAGAGGCCAATCTATTTTCATTAATGGCCTAGCCACAAAAATGATGAGTGGGATAATTAATGCACAAGCATCACAAGGCCAAGAGGTGTTGTCAGTACAAAGGCAGACTGGGTTATTATCTGGGAAAAAGCAAGTTTGAGGCACAAAGAGCAGCATTTAGGAAATAACATCAAGAATTTCTCCTATGACCTCAGAGCTCATGAACAAGCAGTGACTGAAGGAGTAGAAGGACCCCACGTGCTAGTCAGTCACAAGATGACCACAAGCCATCAGTGTGATGTGATTGTTTGAAAAGCACATGTGGTTCACGGGCTTAGCAGTTCAGATCTCAGAAGAGACAGGGGAGCATGGGGTACCAGCTCTAGTGCTAGAAAATCAAATCAAACTGGAGCAGGCACAGAAAAAAGTGACTAAGTGTGGGAAACCTTGGCTCATCTGTGGGAGCCTTAGCATCGGCCTTGTGTATCCTTGAAGAGGCCTGAGAGTCCGGAGAAGAAGGGAGTAAATAAGATTAAGGACCTGTCAGACTGCCAGCAGAGGAAAGTTACTGAAGTTACAGCAGAGAACAAAGAAGGAGGAAGTCATCCAATCATGAACTGTTGGATTTTAAGTGAACCAATTATACATGGACACACGTTTGTAAGAAAGATATAAAAGAGTTTGTTAAAACAATAAAGTGGGCTTCAGCATGATCAAATTGGTCTGTGTCTGAGTTCCGCCGCAACTAAGAGCATGGACTACTGTGGAATGGGAAGCTTATCCAAAGGAGCTTGTCTCCTGGTTAGCTAACCAGAAGGCCAACAGAGGATAATATAGTTCTCTATAAGTGCCTTGAGCCAGTGTTGGCACAAGAACACAGATATAATCCTGGGTACAACCTAGCCATGAAGAAACACAGGCTAGAAAGTTTCTATTGCTCTGAGAAGGGAAGGAGAAGGGAGCTCATGGGGCAGTTGTTTGGAACAGAGGCTGGACATCACTCACACCCCAGGCCCCTTTGGTGCTTAATAGCAGCCAAACAGAGCATTCAGCAAGAGGAGGTGAAACATAGTCCTTCCTCACTCACCCTTTGTAGCACCCTGTAGTAACAACAGGGACAAATTAAGCTGAGGAGGAATGACCATCCCTTACACCCATTGCATCGTTCATTCAGGGACCATGAAGCTCTTAAAACCTTCTAGTGACACATACCTGTTTCACACTCGTTAATTGTAACCCCCTTCCCTTCCCATAATAAAATGTTTCCTACCCTGATTTTGTCATTCTCTGTTTTATCCTCCAAGTCTTCATCAAATTCTTTCTGGGGGTAAAACTCGATCCCATTTACTTCCAGCTTCTCCTATGACCTCAGAGCTCATGAACAAGCAGTGACTGAAGGAGTAGAAGGACCCCACGTGCTAGTCAGTCACAAGATGACCACAAGCCATCAGTGTGATGTGATTGTTTGAAAAGCACATGTGGTTCACGGGCTTAGCAGTTCAGATCTCAGAAGAGACAGGGGAGCATGGTGAACCATCTCTAGTGCTAGAAAATCAAATCAAACTGGAGCAGGCACAGAAAAAAGTGACTAAGTGTGGGAAACCTTGGCTCATCTGTGGGAGCCTTAGCATCGGCCTTGTGTATCCTTGAAGAGGCCTGAGAGTCCGGAGAAGAAGGGAGTAAATAAGATTAAGGACCTGTCAGACTGCCAGCAGAGGAAAGTTACTGAAGTTACAGCAGAGAACAAAGAAGGAGGAAGTAATCCAATCATGAACTGTTGGATTTTAAGTGAACCAATTATACATGGACACACGTTTGTAAGAAAGATATAAAAGAGTTTGTTAAAACAATAAAGTGGGCTTCAGCATGATCAAATTGGTCTGTGTCTGAGTTCCGCCGCAACTAAGAGCATGGACTACTGTGGAATGGGAAGCTTATCCAAAGGAGCTTGTCTCCTGGTTAGCTAACCAGAAGGCCAACAGAGGATAATATAGTTCTCTATAAGTGCCTTGAGCCAGTGTTGGCACAAGAACACAGATATAATCCTGGGTACAACCTAGCCATGAAGAAACACAGGCTAGAAAGTTTCTATTGCTCTGAGAAGGGAAGGAGAAGGGAGCTCATGGGGCAGTTGTTTGGAACAGAGGCTGGACATCACTCACACCCCAGGCCCCTTTGGTGCTTAATAGCAGCCAAACAGAGCATTCAGCAAGAGGAGGTGAAACATAGTCCTTCCTCACTCACCCTTTGTAGCACCCTGTAGTAACAACAGGGACAAATTAAGCTGAGGAGGAATGACCATCCCTTACACCCATTGCATCGTTCATTCAGGGACCATGAAGCTCTTAAAACCTTCTAGTGACACATACCTGTTTCACACTCGTTAATTGTAACCCCCTTCCCTTCCCATAATAAAATGTTTCCTACCCTGATTTTGTCATTCTCTGTTTTATCCTCCAAGTCTTCATCAAATTCTTTCTGGGGGTAAAACTCGATCCCATTTACTTCCAGCTCTTTGCGGACCTGGGCAGAGAGACATTTTGCAGCACAAAGCAACACAAGCCTGAAGGGAAGGCAGGAGAGATGGCCAGGCAAACACATCTGGGACATCCTTCCAGCCAGCAGGGACTGGAAGGACTATCCCCAGGGAATTGTGCAGCAAAGTGAGGACACATGGCAGCAACGATAAATCTTTCTTCCTCAACTCCGGTCACTTGTCTAGCGCTGCAGTTCCCATGACAGAGTGTATCACGAGATGTCACAGGGATACACACCTTTCTTCCCCCTCTAGCAGATGCCCTCAGAGCCATAAACAGCTGCATCTTCAGGACTTACCCACCAACCCAGCATTAGACTCTGTGCATACTCTGGGGACTGTGTTGCTTTTTTCCCTCCTCCAAGCCAAGGCAGGGAAGGATCCCATGCAAGAGAGGAGATACTCACTCTTTGTTTGAACTCAGTCTTCTCCTCCAAGGTCATGGTGTCAGCCTTGGCAATAACTGGGATGATGTTCACTACCTTGCTGAGGTGTTTCATGAACTCCAGGTCCAAGGGACGCAGGCTACAGCCCAAGAAGAAACAATATGGAAGGGATCACTTTACTCTCCTTGCCTTTCATCCTAGTAACTCTCCCAGCGTCAGAGCATCATTGAAACCTCCCTTGTATGTAGCCTGCTTGCTGGCACTGTGCTCTCATCTCCTTCTTCCCGTCCATCCTGCCCTCTCCCAAAAAACACAGTGGCGTTTCTCCTGCCCATGTTATCCTGGACCCTTTCAAGCCCCACAGAAAATGAAGTTAAGCTAAACAGTAGCCAGCCCTGCAGACAGGACCCCTGGGTCCATCACTGAGCTGGAGCAGTGCAGGGCGTATTTCTGGCACAGAGGCTTGAGGAAGGATGAGGGGTGTACGTACGAGTGGCCTGTAGGGGAGATGAAGTAGAGGCAGCAGTGCACTCGTGTGTCTGGAATTCGTTTCTTCCTTGCAATATTCACCTCCTCTTTCAAAAATTTTTCATATTGCTCGTTGATGTATTTCTCGATAGGCTCCCAGCTGTTAAGGTGGGAGAGAGAGATCAATAGGTAGGTACAAATCTCCTCGTGTTCCTGCCTACAGTGTTCCCAGCTCTGACAGCAGCAAAGCAGGCTCAGGCATAAAATATATTCACCACAAGCATCTCACCATCAGCAGAGACGTTTAAGAGTTTCGGTAACTAGGCACAGAAATAGGCACTCGCTATGTAATGTCCCAGGCATGCACACAGACCCACGGTGTTCGCAATTCACGACTCCATTACTGGCCCCCTGAGTGCAGTAGGATCCCAGACACTTTCCAGGCCAAGCAGATGAGAGTCACTCCATACAGCATCTTAACTCCAGCCCTTTCTGGGACACAAGGTCTTAACCATGTAAAACTCACCAGTTTTCATTGTTGATCTGGTCCCCGAATCCCGGCGTGTCAATCACTGTCAGCTTCATTTTGACACCACCTTCTTCAATGACTGGGGAAGAAATTGCAGACAATCATACGCCTCCCCGGGGACCTGCTCCATCATGAAACATGGCTCTGTGCCCTGAAAGGGAACAAGAGCACTCTGCCCTCCTCACTGCCCAGCAAGCATGACCAGGCCGGGCTGGGTCATGCCTTAACAGCTGGGATCCCCACTTGCATTTCTGACCCCAAATTTTGGTAACTTCTGCACCAAAGCCACCTTATACCACGCTGCACAGGCAAACGAATTTGTGCTTAGTATGTGGTACCTACTTTACACAGCTTGTCCTCCCCTCCAACACGTCATCCTGAATCTGAGATAATACTCATTATTCTGCACCACCATAGAAGCTGTGCTGATGCTTTGCCACGAGGAGATGTGCTCTACCAGGCTTGGGATGGGACCCACCAATACAATTTATATAGAATATTGAAAGTTTGCAGGTGGGAATGACTTGCAGCAAGGCTTAATCCACACATGCAGACTAATGTCTTGGCAGAAGAAATATCTAGAACTCTTTTTCTACACCTCACTTTTGGCAGTGGCATCAGCGGTGTTGTTGTTTAAGAAAAGCCTTAGCTGGGTCTGAGAGCATCTAAAACTGGCACTTGTCCTTTAGCTCCCCATGGAGAAAGGGCTGCCTAACACCGAAGAACTGTTTTCATAGACTACTGGGGTCTTCTGCAAGACTGTGCTGAAGCATCAGTATTGCCTCCACCCCAGCAGCCTGGCTCTTACCATGACCAATGGCTTTGATCTCCACTGTCTTCGGGATCTTCTCCTCCCGGTTCCAGCCTGAAGATTTGCGGCTCACCTGGGATTTGAAGAGGGTGTTCACCAACGTCGACTTTCCCAGTCCACTCTGACCTGAGGATCACAAAGAGGAAGCTTGTGACATCTGACAGCAGGCCCAGGGGACAGAGTCATGCTGGCAGGGGAAGGGGGTGTAGGTGTCTCCTTGCCTTGTGCAGGCTCTCCTTTCCCACAGGGCAAGCACTGCCTGCTCTCTCATACCCTCCCTGCAGGGCTTGCCTCCCATGTGGCCCCATGAGACAGCCCCTGGCCATGGTTCCTGGCACCTCAGCTGGTCCCTGCTTACCTACAACCATGATGTTGAAGTCGAAACCTGTCTTCATGGTTTTCTTGCGCATCTGCTCAATGATGGTGTCAATACCGATGTAGCCCAGCAAGTTGGCGTTAATGCCCACGGGTTTCATTGGTACGACTGGTTTTTGTCGCGGCTCTGGGACCAGCTCAGACATGGCTGCTTCGTTTTTGCTCTCCACTGGCCCTGCATGGGAAGAATGAAAAATCATCACTGAGCTGTAACAAGGACCTTCCTGCTGATCTGTCACAGGGGCTGAGGGCAACTTTGAGCATCCATTTCAAGGGCTACTGAGGATGACTGAATGGCGAGATTTTAGCAGTAGGGCTCTTCATGGAGGAACATCTACTTGAGTTTCCAGCACACCCTTCTATGTGTCACTCCGAACACAGGATGGCTACCTCCAAACAGCAAGAGCAGACGCAGTGAAGACGGGAGGGCTCCTAAACAGCTGCCCAAAGCTCTATGTATGTCTCCTCATTTTGGTCTCCCAGTTCTCATCAGCACCATCAGTGTTTTGCCCCTCCAAGTTTAGCATGAAATTTGCAAAGACTTTCAAAAATTATCATTTGTCAAATCCCAGCATTGAAAGAGAGTTTAGAATTTACTGTGAGGAATTGCAAGCTCAGCCCTTGCCAGCGGCGGCTGCATTACCAGCCATGCTGTGCAGGCTGAGCTCCTCAGAAGAAGGCAGTAGTGGAAGTGAAAGCATGGCCACAACCTCTGCACTTGCCTGCTGCCCATAGATTGATGGGTTTTTCCATGCTCAAGAAACTAATCACTGTGATCAATAAGCTAATTATCTGCACACTTCCCTCCTCTCCTCCCCCTCCTTGCTGCTTCTTTGTGTAAAACAAACAGGCAAAAAAGAAAGGCCCTGGGGGCTTTCTGGCCTCTCTAACTCTTTTTTTGGGTGATGGCACACACTGCTGGGGCGGGCCTCGTCCATTTATCTCTGTCTCTTGTCTCATTAGTGAGTAGCTCCCACCCGCTGGGAGGAAACCGAAGGTTGGGAGAGGACAGGGCACAGAAGAAAAGCTGTAATTGGTGGGGAAGGGAGGCATGAGGGATGAATCTAGAAAGGAAGATGAAGGGGATGAGAATCAAATACCTTTCATATACAAACCAGCTGCAAACTAGAGTCTCTCCCACTCTAATTACTTCACTCCCCCATGCTTTGTCTCATTAGATGGCTATTTTTCCAGGACAGGGACAGCATGTGTTTTCGCTTGGTAAGCACTCTACTTGTTTTGGATGCCACTTCAGTTCAAGTATCTCACACTAAATTATCTCTTTCCATCATTTTGGTGGAATTTTTTGCTCCTCTCAGCGGAACCTGCTGCCTGCAGAGGAGGACACGAGTGGCCAGGCAGGCAACGGCCATTTGGTGGGTGATACATGCTTCTTGGAGAGGAAGATGACTCTGAGGTCACTGGCCTGGGGACACTGATAGCACCAGTCCGGGGACCCCAGGACAGCTCAGCCAGGCCAGGCAGAGACCAGGCTTGGGGAGAGATTTTGTTCAAGGACAGAGTTGGACTGCAACAGGCTGCATGGCTGGCTGGTGACCCTGCCTCCCATTGCCACGTCAAAGATCCTGTGCAGACACAAGGGCTGCTCTACACAGTGAAGGTTTTACATTCTAAATAAGCTTTAATATCCCACTATCGTGTCCTTGAGGAAGGGCCGCCCTTGGCAGGGAGAAGGGTGCTTCCACCCAGTTCCTTTTACACTGCTTGGGAAGACTTTTATGCTAAACTGGGAGAAAGGATCTTTCCTCCGTGTGAGAGGGGGGCAGCACTGCCCCCCATGCACAGCTCTGTGGGTACCATCTGAAGGTTCTTGTACCATCTCTGTTCCACCTTGCCAGCAGGGGAGAGGTCTGCTGGAGGATGGCCCCCCTCCTGCTCTTCCCCATGGAGAGCAGACACTCTGAGCTATCATCATCGTCTCCTGAAGCAGCGAGCAACACCCTGGGGGGAGCAGAGCACAAGATGGACCATTGGCTTGAGCCAGGCTGGCAATTCAGAGCACCTCATGCTGCCGGGCAGCTGCCGGAGGAGGCAGCCTGCCGAGCCCAGCGCTTCTCCGCTGCAATCCTCTCTTACACCCGTCACAGCTAGTCTGTGCCTTTCCTGCTGACAAAGCAGCCCCTGGGGCTCCTGTTGTCTTTTTCCAGCTTTCTCAAAGCTGCTGCCAGCCAGGAAAGCCCATCTCTCTGGCACAGCATGGAGGGCCAAGCCAGCCAGCTCTCCCACACCCTGCCCTTCGCTCCACCCTCTCCCGGGCTCCCCCACACCACCTGTACCATAGTTGTGTGGTTGTGCTGTGCCCCTCATCCTGCTGCAGCATCCTCCAGCGTGCACCCCACACAGCCCTGCTGGGGTCCCACCTACCCCAAAGACAGGGAGAAGAGAGAAGGAGACAGGGAATGATGAGGAGATGTGGAGCAGGGGGCTGTGGCCCCAGTGAGGCACTTGGAGACTGCAGTAATGGGGGAAAACAAACCCCCAAGGTGGAGAGGGAACAAGTTGAGGTAGGAAGAAAGCCCAGCTGAGCAGCTGTGTGGGATGGGTAGAGGACCTGGGCCATGTGGGCTGTGATCCCTTTGCTTCCCCGGGCAGTAGCTTGTCCTCAGGGAGTCTGTTGCCCTCTCCTTTATTCCTCCAGCTCCTTGTTCTTACACAGGGAGGAGGAAGGAGGGGAGCTGCTGGCAGTCAACCTCCAGGCTCACTAAGAAGTCCATAACTCATCCCTCAGTCTCACCAAGGAATGCTTTGCCCACAGCTGGCAGTTGTTGCTAACTCTGCTGTGGACATCACAGTACGTGGCCATCCCTTTAAAGGCTTTGTTGCTGGAACCAGGAGCTTGTAGTGCCTGGAGCCGATATTTCAGAGTTAGGCTCCTGAGCACCTATATAAAGCTCTGAAACAGAGACAAAAGATCTCTAGAAGTCTCCTTAAATATTTCCTGGATTTTATATCAGCGTTGTTGCCCTGGGCATTTTGATTTTGAACACTCAAGGTCTCGGGGTAGACAACCTCCTTTTCTCCCCTCAGTCGCTTACCTTCCTCTCTGTGGGGGGGCCTTCCCATACAGCCTCAGGATGAGAAGCCCCCATTTTGAAAAGAGGTACCTGAGGGCTCAGCTTTCTTCACAGGATTTTCCATCTCTTGACTCCCAGGGAGGAATCCAAGGAGTCAACTGAGGAAACAGCCTGCTGAGGAGGTCAGGGTGTGCAAAACCGGGGCCAGAGCTATGAAAATCACCTTGAGACGTGTCTACGTGTCTACCTGGTCTCTGGGGAATGGCTCTGTTTTACATGCAGGAATGCTAACGCTGCTAGGAAGCCTCATTAGTGCTCTGACAGACTGGTCAAGGGGTAGCATTATGCATCCAAGGCACATCCTGTAGCCCCTCCAGCTGTCCCCTGTAATGAATACATGATAGGGCACTACGGCCAGTACAGCCGATAATGAATAGAGGGTTAGCCAAGGTTAACCACTTACATCCGCTGTTTGCATTGCCACCCTTTTCCCTGCTGCTTTGTTCTGTGTGCTAAGCGAAGCTCATTTAAGAGGGCGGTTACTGATGACATTTCTGCTGCCTGGTTCCCAGTGGGAAGTGGCCCAGGCTGGGCTGCCAGAGGACAATCTCTGGCTTACAGGAGATGCTCCACCCAGCTCTGGGGCAGAGAGCGGTGCAGCATCTGAGGCCGGGGCAAGTAGGGCCAGAAGGGCAACGAATGCCCGGAGAGGTCCCAGCAGTCCCAGCTAGCTCCTGCTTCTGGCACCCACTGACCCACCCCAAAACCTCTCCCTGGAAGGCTGGTGTACGTGGCCAGCAGCAGACACCAGTACTGCAGAGCATCCTTCATGTCCACCTGCTTCTGATGTTGGCAGCAGCTAGCTGGGGACAGAAGTGTTCCCGCAGGTCACTTAGGGGCTCAGGTAGTAGGGACTAACATCTACTCTGTCCCGATAACCCAGATACAGTTGCATCCCCTCCCCCCTGCCTTCCCATCCTTTGTCTGAGTGGTAAGAGGGAAGGAGGGAGGGAGGGCTGCAAACAGTCGCTCACCACAATCCAGCTTCCAGCAAGGAAAGGCTATTTAACCCCCACATAACACATGGACAGCCTTGCTGCAGCTCTCCTCCTTCTGTGGCACAAGGCCGTCCCACTCTGGCTGGAGGCAAGGATCCACACGCACGTCTCACCCCAGCCCCTTCCACCCGCATGGCCCCAGACACATGGTCCCACTCCCTGCAGACACGAGATGGGGAGGAGGGATGGGTTCCAACCCTGAAGGCTGCTGGCAGGAGTGGGTCCCCAGTGGGTGACACCAGATCCCTAGAAAGGAAAGCAAGCGGCTGCTTCAGTAGCACAGCCTCCCTGGGGCTTGCAGGCATTAGGATCTGGTCCTTGTTTCAGATCCACAGAGGTGAGGACCGAGCATCCCTCCACCGGAAAAATCCCTTTCCCCTCCATTTCTGTGATCACCCCAGGGCATTTCTCCCAGCTGTGCAAGGCAAAGCCCAAGCCATGCCGGATGCACCGCCTGACCTCAGGGTGCAGAACAGGGCCATGCTCCTTACCAGATCTTTTTTCCTAGCTTGAGGATCACCGGGCATTTCGAATGAGGCAGGAAAACTCATCCCAGCCCTTTGGGCTGCCGCAGCCTTCCCAGCAGCAGCCTTCCTTCCCCTCAGCGTTCTGCAGGAGCTCCTTGGGCAGGAGCCCGGCTCTGCCAGGGCTGCAGTGAAAACTAGGGCATCATGTGCCGAAGCCTCTCTGGAGATGCAGAAACTGGATGTGAAAGGGTTTGGGAATGATGTCCCCAGCCCAGCTGCTGCAGGGTTAGATACTTGCCTCAGCCCCCGACCGTACCCGTGGTGCTGCTTCCTGGCTGTGCAGTCCTTACTCCATATCCCAGCTCACTGCCTGGGTGGCACGGCTGTGTCACAAGGTGAGAGGATGCTGAGCACCCCTGAACTAGGGTGCCCATGTCACCCCAGCTGCCTGTCCCCTGCCTGCTCTCCCCCTGGCTCCTGCACAGATGCCCAGGGAGCAGCATAGGATGTCCCCGCTGCCCCCAAAGCAACTGCCTGTCATTGACAAGGGACAAGCCAGACTCGTAGCAGCTTGTGGGCTTTCCCCAGCTCTGGACCAGCTGGGATTATCTCTTTCTTTCAGAGCAGCCCCTGGCGCCAGCTACTCCCCATCAACACCACAACCAGCCCTGCTCGTTCTCCTTCATGCCAGACCGCTGCCACCAAAACAAAGAAAAAAAAACAGGAAAGACAAAGCCAGGACGGATTTCCCCCACTGCCCTTTGGGGTTATTCCTCCCCCGTGGCCAGAGCTGGGCGGCGTGGGGGCACGGCAGAGTGCCTGCACGAAAAGCCCCAGCAGCGTCCCTCCGGCATCCTCCAACCCTGCCAAGCCCAGAGCATCCTACCTTTGAACATGAAGCTTCCTTTGTCTCCGAATCCTCTCCCAAGGGGGTGGGTTTCCCCCGACTTTTCTAGCCTGATGCTGACGCGGCGCGGTGGGCTACAAGGCTCTGCTTTTACCTCTCTCTTTCTTCCCTGTGTCCTCTTCTCCCCCCCTCTCCTTCCCCTCCTTCTCCAGTGGCTATTTCAGCAGAGCGGGGATGCTGGTGCTGCTCCTGCTGCCATCGTCATGTGACCTGAATATTAAACATCGCCGCAAAATCTCCCCCCGCGCACCCTCCCCCGGCTCCATCCCAGGCCCCCGCCAGCCTCCCGGCTTGGGTGGGCAGGGTCATAGGGATGGGGGGGCCACCACCGATGAGCACCCCGTGTCCCAGAGGGCCCCCCTTGCACAATGCAGGGGCCTTTTCTTGCCCCTTTCCCCCCCTATTCCCCGGTGGTTTCAGCATCTCTGCTTGTTTAGGGAGGGGGAGATTTAACCCTTTGTGGCTTCGCTCCAGCGGGGCTGAGAAAGGGCGTTCTCTCCCACTAGGTATTTACTGGGTTCAGGAGATTGCAAGGCCTCCTTCTGCTTTCCCGGAGAGAGGAAATTGGGAACATTTTGGCTGATCAAAAGTGATCTGCCCTTCAGCTCCGCTTGTGGAGGTGTGAGAAACCTTTTCTCCTCCGGCACCGCGGTTCCTGGCTGTCAGCCCACGGTGCAGAGGCAGAGCGAGCGCTGTCCCTACTCTGTGTGTGCACACATACGTGTGTGTGTGTGCACATACATGTGCACACATGTGTGGGGAGCAGGGAGGGGCCATGTCGGGGTGCAGAGATCACATCCCCTCATGCCCTGGCAGGTGTCCGTGCCTGGCAGTGCCCTGGAGGGGACACATGGAGAGCCATGCGGATGCTCCTGGCTGCCGCTGCCTTTGGAGGGGGATGCTCCTTCCTCCCACTGTGTTTCCTTCTCCTACAGTTTTGATCCCTGGCCCCATCACATCCCATGGCCCCACCACACCGTGCCAGGGCACGAACATCTGGGACTGCTCTGACCCTCTGATGTCCTTTCAGGGATTGTCCCCATGTGTCCCTCCACCTGCTGTGGGTTATGGTTGTGTTTAGAAATCACTGTTGGCACTGAAAGGTTACACAGGCTTGGCTGAGTGGTCTAACAGGACCTCTGGACAGATGGACAGACAGACAGGTCTCCCACTGCCCATAGCAGCTCCTGACATGGTGCCCACAGCTGCCCGTTTCCCCTCCAGGTGCCAGGCTCACTGCCTCACGGGCTCACCTCCCGCCTGCCTTCTCCCCACTGTGTTCCCAGTGTGTGCCAAGGGGAAATCACAGCCAGGGTAGGAAGCCCCCATCCTCCCCCATGTCCCCCACAGCTCCCAAAGACCCTGCCCCACGCCGAGCCCCATGGTGCTGCCACCACCGAAGGACCCCTCGGTGCCTCCCTCCCCCCTGCCCATCCCATCCCGGCAGCGGAGACCCACCAGAGCACGGCGGGGAGCAGGGCACCCCCATCTTCACCGCCAGGGCAGCCTCTGCCCAGCCAGGACCACCACCTCGCTGGGGCCCCTCGGCCGCCATGGGACGGGGGCGAGGAGGGACGGGTGTGATGGGGGCCGGGCCCCGCAGCCGCTCCCAGGGGAGCCCCCCGCCGGCCCGGCACAGGGTGACCGAGAGGCAGCTCCGCTTCGTGGGGGCGTTGGGGATGCCGAGGGGGCCATCCCGTCGTGGCGGGGGGGCCGGGATGCGGCTGGGGCTGCCCAGGGTAGGCAGGCGGCTGCGGTGAGGGGCGACGTCCTCCTCCATGGCGGGCGGCGGTGGGCTGGAGGCTGAGGTGCGAGGGTGAGGGGTGACGGGCCAGGCTGGGGGGGGCAGGCTTTCCCCGGTGCTGGGGCTGTGGAGTCTTGGGGTGCAGCCGCCGTCGTCCAAAGGCCTGAGCCCCCACCGGCAGCCCTGGCCCGGGGGGGCCAGCCCGCCTCCGGCCGGGACAATGGGGCACTTGTGGCCTGCCCGGCACACTCCCACGCCTGGCGCCATGTCCGCTCCTGTCCCCTGCCCGGTGCCTTCCTGGCCCCCACCGCTGGCAAGCCCACGCCACCGGCAGCCCCACAACTACAGGCAACCCCCCAAAACCACGGGCAGCCCCACAACCATGGCAGGAGGTGAGGGAGCCTGTGCTGCCTGCTCCGGAGAACAATGAGTGTGATTTAAAAAAGCCAAAACAAACAATTAAAATCTCTGAGTTTTTCGAATGTTGGGGAAGTTCAGTGTTTGCTGGTGGGGTGTTCATCCATGTTGACACTTCTTTCCCTTATTCTGATTTTATTTTGGTTCTCCACTATTCTGATTGTTTCTTAATTTTGCCAGCTTTGGGGCATTTTCAGGGTCAAGAGGGCATCCATTACAGGGAGTCAGCTTGCTGCTCTACACCTTCCTTACTATAAAAGAGACTTTGAAGGGCAATGCAGTAACCAAGGAGGAGAGGAGAAAGGTCTTTTGGTGGGATAGGATGAGAATACGCATGGTTTGGTGGGCAAATGGGAGCAAAGAGGAGAGCCAGGGCAGCCATAGCACCCACAGCACGACAGGGGTGATGCTCACCTGCGTTCGGGTGGCCAGGGCAGAGAGATGGAGGGGGAACCACCATCCCAACCCACAGCAAGCCATAGGGAGTGCAGGGGGAAAGCAGGGCTCGGGGTGGTGTAACTTCTCTGCTTCCCTAAAGGCAAAGAGACAGAGAAGGTGGAAAAGACCAACCTGATGCTGTGCAGTATTTCCAGCACTAAGTATCTTCTCTGATGCTTTATGCAGTTTAATTCAGTATCTGAGTCTATTTCCCTCTCCCCTGAGGTCTCTCTGGCTGCACAGGTCCCACAGGGGAGAAACAGGCTCAGTTTTCAGGCAGCTTTTGCCTTTGGCTTAATTATTCCCAGATAGCCCCACAGCAGAGCCAGCACAGAAACCAGGCGGACAAAGACTATCCTGCTGTAAAGGAAACCTCATTGCAGCCTGGTCCTTGCTGCCTACCCAGTGCTGGAGGGAGGCATCTCCTGAGGGGAACAAGAGGAAAATAAAGCATCAGCCACATGGTTTGTCACACACTTTTATTCCACTGGGGAGGGCTTTGACACCATTGGCAATAAAGTCCTTCATACCCATGGAAAATGCCTGGCTTAATACTTATTGTGTCAGGACTAAACAGTGCGAAACATAAGCCAGAGGAGATGAATAACTAATTTCTCTCTAGTCCAGCCCGGATGTCTTTGTAATCTTCTTTTCACTTGGTTTCTGTGGCGAGTCATGGGCAGAGTGGAGGCGCCGGAGGCCAGGACAGCACGCAGAGGAGGACACAGAGGAGGGGAGAGAGGACGCCCACGGGGAGCCCCATCACACCATGGATGCCAGCTGGCCGAGAGCAGCAGTGGCAGACCCAACCTTTCATTTTTACCAGGCTGGTGGTTTTCTCTCTTCTTTTTTGACTCAGCAAGTGGAAGTGGGTTTGGAGGAGGTGCAATGGCAGAGCAGCCTGCGCTGAGGCAGGCCACCAGGCCACCAGGCCACCCTGTCCCTGACTGCTCCAAGCCCCTCAGCTCCAGTACAGAGGTTTTTATTGCTATCCCATGGCTCAGCTAGGGTCCGCTCGCTGTGCAGTCCCAGCTATGATAGTGTTGAGGTAAGGAAGTGGGTTTCCAAGCTGGTGCTTGGAGATATGGCTGTGTTGTGCTGAAAAGCAGGGGACGTGAACCATGCAGCTGAGGGTGGCACGTAAGACTGTGCAGCCCAGCCCCACAGCATTTCCTTTTCTCAGCCTCAAGTCATCAAGGCACAAAAATACATGGGATTTACCTGTTTCATGCTACAGCTGCTCTTTGAGCTTTTGCTTGGTGAGTGTATCTTTGGGCACAGCAGTAATCCCACTCATTGCATTTCCCTGCCGAGTGAGACTCTCCAGTTGGGGTACTTGCATCATGATCTCTGTTTTTCGGCTGACTGGAAGGAAGGACTCACAACTTGTCCTCTGGCTGAAACAGAGCCAGAAAACTCCTGCCAGTGTGCCTGGTTTTGGACGAAATGTCTCAGAAAGACCCAGGATATTTACAGGATGTCCTGACCCATTCCTTCCTCAGCCAAAACCCTTAGAGCTAAAAATTAACATCCATCCCTTGAGAATTACCAATGTAGCATCGCTCACTTAAACCGGCCCTGTTTGCTCTCCTCCTCTCTTTGGGAATGGGGGAAAAAACCTCCCCTGAGAGTTTCACAGGAGAGGCTGAGGGACGCAAGACCAACCAGGGTCTGTGGCAGATTTCAGCAGCAGGCCTAGGGGATGCCTGCTGCCCAAAACAACCATCAGGGTCTATGGCACAGAGCTGGAACACCAGGAGCATGCTGGGGATGTGGATTGCCCCGATACTGGCAGGCACAGGTGATGGCATGGGATGTGCAGACACGTGGACATGGCATGGTGGCACTGGCTGACATCCCCTGGGACATGCAGAAGTGGGGCACACAGGATCCCAGTGTGCCCAGAGTGCTCACAGTTATCACCTCTGCACCTGCTGCATCCAAAGGGTGGGTGTTGATGTGGGAAGAGAGGTGAGGAGAGGTTCTTGACACAGCCTCCTGCCATGGGTTCAGAGCTCCCCCAAAACTACCCTGTGCACACTGGGCATTACACTGGGCTGGCAAGGAGGGAGAAAATGTGAATGTCACTCTTAGCCCCAGCATCATGCCTTTGCACAGCGCTTCAGTAGCCAATCAACCCCGGAGCAGTGCAGAAAGTGCAGATGGTTAGTCTATGAACATGGGATTTTGTGCCAGACCCACATTATATGGCTTGGGTCCAGAAAGCAGAGGTGGTGCAACAGGCCCATTTCACCGACAGGCTCAGTGTCCCTTCTCAGAGACATGCAGGGAAAGGGGGTCGAGGGATGCTTCACAGCTTTCATTGAGATGACAGTTAAGGTAGACCCCTGTCCATGCCGTGGGACTTTGGAGTGCAGGGGACTGAACAAGTGCAAGCTGCCTCCCAGTCTATCCCATTTCACTCCATGGCAGAGAAGCAGAAGGTCAGGCAGATCAGGAGAGGCTTATGTGATAAGTCGGGCAGCACCCCGTCATTGAGAGCTGCAATATATTCTCAGCTTGACACAGGACTTGGACAAACCTCTTTAGTAAAGATCTTTAATTTGAATGTAGTGCATCTGAAATGGATGGATGGGTGGGTGGATGGATGTTCTCCATCTCCCAAATAGACACAGAGTAGCAATGTGCCTTTAGCAGGGGTAAAGGAATTCAGTCCTGGGGCTCGCTGAGCCCTTGGCCCCTCTGCACAGAGCTTCAGCAAGCTGTGAAGAGCTCAGTTGAAGCAACGATCTGGGTTGAAATCCCATTTATTTCTCCCCAAATAGCCCCCGGACTTAAACAGACTGGGTTAGATTTAACTCAGGGACTACTAGTAAAAAGCCTGGTACCCCTGCAGAGACCTTTCTTACTGAGGGTCATGTCAAGATACCAGTCAGCTCAAACTCAAGTGATTAACAAGAGATCTTTCATCAGTCTCGTCCATAGAGAGGAGTGGAAGTCCTTGGCTGGGTGAAGGGCTGTGAGTGTGTGGGAAGCCCCAGGTCTACAGTGCCACACAAACCTTGCCTAAGAAGCAAAGGGTCAGAAAGGTGAGTGGTGAGTATGAGACCCAGATCTGCAAAGAGCAAAGTGACAATCAGTCCCGCTTGCACAAAGCAGGACTGTCATCCCTACCAACGCTTGTGGACTGCTGCCCACCCAGGAGAGGCTCTTGTGGACCCAACAGTCAGTGTATCAGACTTCGGGCACCCCGAAGGCCAGGTTGTCCCGAATCATCAGTGTCTTCCGAAGGTCTCGTTCCATGATTGGCCTCTGCGTTCGCCACTTATGGGCTTCCTGGAGTCCTGGCTCAAAGTAGTAAATGCAAGCTCCAAAGCCCACCAGAATGAGAATGGAGATCATCAGATACACTGGCACAAACCAATCCAAGAAGTGGGGCATGGCTGCCAGAGAAAAAAGGAGAAAGCTTGTGCAGTGGCACCACCCAAAACTCACCTCCACTGGGCTTCATTGTGAGACATCTGCCTCATCAGCAGTGCTTAGCCTCCCTGCACCCCTCCTTACAGCCCCATTGCACCCCAGGTCCTGCTTGGTTGCACACCAAGGCACCTCAGCCTTCCAGAGAGGGAGATCTCTTTGCCTCTTCGCTGGGACCCCCTCACTGAGCAGCAATCATGCTCCTTCCCCACAGAGGGGGGTGATCTCACAGGCCCCCAGCCCTGCTGCCAGTGATTAAAGATAGGTAGCATGTCCCTGGCTAAGCCGAGCTCCTGCAGCAGGTGAATACAGCTGCTTCTCATCTCCTGCTTGGGGGAAACCCTGCTGCCCCATCCCCTGATGCTCCACGATCCCTTTGAATTCCCAGTCTGAGCTGATCTATCTCAGGGCTGAGCCCCCCCTCGCTGCACCCCTATTTAGTGTCCTGCTTTGCTGGGGCCTGGAGTCCTTGCAGTTCTTGGTGCAGCGCTGGTCTCTGAGGGGACCCCAGATTCCTGCCCCAGCATCAGCTGCTGGGCAGTGGGAGCCACTTACCGGGGGTGGCCGCTTTTCCTTGCCAGGAGCCCCTTGCCACCCAGGCGTGAGGTGCCGAGTCTGCAGCAGCGCCCTGGGGAACACAAAACAACACACCATATGATGGCTGTTGATCCAGCACTAAAAATGAGTGAGGAGGAATGAGCAAATGTCTCCCTGCCTAGATGGCAGGGCTGAAGCTTTCCAGAGGGGTGGACAGATGAGTTCCCAGTCCCACAACCTTCTGGTGGCCTGACCACTCTCTCCCCACCATTATAACACTGCTGACGCCATGCTCAGGGCCAATTAAAAGCTGTAATGGCACCGTGTTTGTGCCCATCCCTTATCCCCATCCTTTGGGAGGGAGGGAGGGAGCAACACACATTGCAACCCACAGCAGAGCCCAAGTTGTCTGACCCACAGCTGCATGCTCTTACCAAAACACCCACCAGGGTGTGGGTCATGCAGAGGTAGAAAAGGGAGTCGAGAAGTATCCCCCCAAAAAGTCACAGCTCTGGCCTCTCCTGGGCACCAGGACTACTGGGTTTTGCACGGTGAGCATGCTGCTTGTCATAGGGTTCAATGGATTAAACGGGGGACTCTCAGGCTCGGGAAAGTGTGACAGTGTCAGGCTCAGGCACAAAACACAGTCCTGAAGGGAGGCTTTCCAAAACCCTCACCCCTTGGTGGAGTGATGAAATGTCCCCTGGCTTCAGTAGGGATGAAATTAGGGTAGAGCTGCGCCCTTGTTGAGCTCCTGCTTTTGCAAACACCTGGGAGGTGCCACCTGCAACCCAAGTCACAACCACATGTCCTCAGCCTCCCTTCACAGGGCAGTTAAGTGGAGGTTGGGGAGAGCTCTGAGCATCTCCATCCCACTTCCTGCTCCTGGCCCATAAGGCTGTTACCCTTTTCCATACCGGAGGCTGGGCTTTTTTCCTTTCTTTTTTTTTTTTAAACCACAGCCATCAGTTGATCCCAATGTGCCCAGCAGGCGTTTCTCTGCTGGACACCTCTTGCAGCAGGAGAGCCCATCCCTGCCTGCTTGCCCCGAGACTAGCAGTGGGAAGCATGAGATTCATCTCTGCCCTCTCAATAACACCTTTTCTGTCACAGGGTTAGATCTGAAATGAGCTACAATTCTTGCTAACATAGGCAAGAAACTGCCAGCACTAGCGAAAAAGCCTGATTTCCTCCCACTTATTGGCATGGATGTTGATATTTATCTGTTCTTGCATCACAGGGGAGACCTCAGTGGATTTTGCCTCCTCCTACCACGCTTTGGCTTTCAGCAGTCCTTGGGTTTGCTACCCATGGTGCTGCCTCTACCGTTGCCAAGTCCTAGAGGACTTTTTCTGTCTCCCTCTCGGTGATTCACACCTCCCTTTTGCCAGGACCCCATTCCAGTTGATCAAGAGCAATGAGACCGGGCAGCTCAGCATCAGCCACCATTTGGCTGGGAGCAAAGAGGCAGTCTGGGCTCCTGTGTCCTCTGATGCTGTTGCTGCTGCGTGAAGCCCATTGGACCCCCTGCATCCCTAAAGCCACTGCCACAGCCAGGCTGGGGGGCCCAAGGCTGCTGCAAATCCCTTCTTCGGAGGTTTCTTCGGCAGCCGATACCAGTCCCTGGCTGGCAAGAGCATTGGGCAGGGTTAGGGAGCCTGGGAAGGTGACTCGGGCTTGGACCCCCCTGAGGCAACGGGAAGAAAGCCAGCAACCTCATTTCCTTCCCTAATCATCTGCTTTCCAAGCCTGGGAGTGAAGCTGCTGTTCAAAACCACCGCAATAAAAAGCAGCCCTACAGACTCCCCCGTTTATCCTTCCTCAGTGACTAGCAGAGCCAGCATTTCCCAGCTCCTTGCCAGCAACCTATTCTTTGGTCTACTTGCTATGCAGTCCTCACCTCGTGCTGCATCCCCCCACTGCTCCCCCAACAAATGGTCCTCGCCATGGCCAAGCTGAGCGCTGGGTGAGGTGTCAGAGCACCCCCCTGCCCCAGCCTCTGCAGGTCTGGACCAGTGAAGCACTTCTGTCGTCAGGTGGGTGAGCAGATTTTGGCTGCAAATGCCGAAAGAGGGAGTTTCATTTGGGAAGATGTCAGCTTTCTGGAGCGGCTCTGCAGATATTAAACATGCCTTAACCCTTGCTGGACTGGTCGATCTCAGCACCCCATTTTGCAGTGGGACATCTGTGCCCCCCCAGAGACACAAAAGAGTCCCCTGTCTTTTAGCTGAGATGGTATCTCATAGAAGTAAGCTGACTGACCCTTTTAAAACCCATGCTATGTGTGTCACTCCAGACGCTCTCCCCAATGTCACCCCCAGATCCTGCATGCCACCTCTGGCTGCCCCCCGAGATGCTCTGGGTACACGTGTGACAGGTGCCTTGAGGGGCGTGCTGCAAGTGGCAGGGCAGAAAGTGCTTGGGGAGGGGGGGCTGGAGCAGGGAAAGGGGGTTTGCAGGAGACATGGACATGCACTGGTGAGAGGGCATAGGGTTGGCAAGGCAGGAGTGGTGCCCATGCAGTGTGGCAGGACACAGGTGACTTTGGACACCAAACCCTCCCATGTGCATGGTCAGGAGCACAAACCAGGCTGCAGCACTGCCAGCCATAGTCTCACCCCAACCACAGAAGATCCCCCCAGGACAGGGCACCCCGGGGGCAGGCTACAGCTGGGGGCAAGGAGCTCCTGATGGCTGGGGACCTGGGCACGACCCCGCTCCCATACATTGCATCCCCCGGCAAGCTCTGCAACATGCCACCTACCTCTTTCCAAGGGCGCAGGGCGACGGGATGAGGCTGCTCCTTCGGGCATCTGCCGGAGCGCGGCCGGGATGAGTCAGGCTCCCCTTCCCAGGCAGGCAGTGCCGGGGAGAAGGGACCCCGCTCCGGGAGGGCCGGGCGACAGCGGGAGGCGACAGGCGCGGGGCGGGAGGGAGGGATGGCGGGAACGTGCGGGGGTGACACCGAGCCGGCAGCGCGGCCTCATTGCCCACCGGGGCTCCTGGGGGCTTCCCCCATCGCCTCCCTGGCAGCGTCAGCCCCCCTCCAGCCTCCCCAGAGCACCCCACCGACGGCC